AGTGAGATCATTGCAAATGTAACTTAGTTATTGAAGATTCAACAAAATCGCCAATAAAAATAAGTACCCACTACCTTTGATATTTGAGCTTCTTGATTGGCTAAATCAAGCTAAGATCTATACAAAAATAGATCTACAAAGAGCATATAACTTGATATACATCAAAGAAAGAAATGAATTAAAGATTATGTTTTAAACTGGATGTGGATATTTTGAATAGAACTTCATACATTTTACACTTATAAATACACCAACAACTTTTCAATATTTAATAAATGATATCTTTCAAGAGTTTTTAGATAACTTTGTTATTTATTATGTAAATATCTTAATCTATTCTAAGAACATAGAAAAAAATGAACTTCAAGTTTATTGTGTGTTACAAAAAACTAAGAGATATGAAATTCAATACTAAGATAAAAAAAAATTAAAAAATATGTATTCTATACTACTCAAGTTGACTTCTTAGGATACATCATTTTAAATGATGGATTTATGATAGATCTTAAGAAATTTCAAATTATTATAGATTGGAAGATATCAAAAATCATAAGAAATGTTTAATACTTTTCAAAATTTGTCAATTATTATCGAATCTTCATCAAAGATTTTTCTCAATTTCTAGTTCTACTTATGCATTTGACTTGTGAAGGAAAACTTTAATAGAATTAAGAAGCAAAAATAGCATATGAAGCTTTCAAAACAACCTTTATTCTCCACCAATCTTGTATAATATCAACTTTTCTAAGCCATTCTATATGAAAATAAATGCATTGGATTTTACTTTAAATGTTGTATTATTACAAATGGAAACAAATAATAAACTTCACCCTATAATTTTTCATTCAAGAAAATTTTCAGTAGCCAAGATCAACTATAAGATTTATAACAAAGAACTTATTGTAATTGTGGAATCATTTCAAGAATGACGCCATTATCTAGAAGGCACTTTTAATCTAGTTATTATTTATATGTGCCATAAGAATCTTAAATATTTTATGTGAGCATGTATTTTGAATTGTTGTCAAGCCCATTGCAACATATCTTTGTCAATATTTAATTTAAAGATCACTTATCAATCCAAAAAACAACAAAGTTTGTCAAACATTCTTTCTAGATAGTCTTATCTTGCACCAAAAGAAGAAAACACATCTTTTTATTAATAAAAAATGATTCTTTTGAAGCAAGAGCATTTTCATCTTTAAGCAATAAAATCAATATTGACTATTGATTTGAGCTTTTTCAAACAAATTCAATCAAGTATGTCCTCTAAACCTCTTATTTATGATATCAAGAATCTTTTTTTTAAGTCTCATGATACTTTCAAGTTTGAATTCAAGGACAACCTATTCTATTTCAAAAGACACCTATATATTCCAAAAAAAAATACATTTAAGTATTCTTAAAGCATGTCATGATTTTCTAATGACCAGATATTTTAAATACAATAAGACTTTAAAGCTTACATTTAGAGATTTTTGGTGGTTGCAAATGCAAAAGGTAGTGAAAGAATTTGTTCAATCATATGACATTTGTTCAAGATTTAAAATTCCTCGTCATTGACCCTATGAACTTTTTCAACCATTTTCCATATTCAAACAATTATGGTCATCTATTTGTATGGATTTTATCGCGGATCTTTCAATCTCACATTTGTATGATTTTATATTTGTGATTGTAGATCATTTTTCCAAGATGGCATATTTTATACTATATGCAAAATCTATCATATGTAAAAAATAGCTTAAATTTTTTTTGAAAACATCTATTGCTATCATAAATTATCTAAAGTAATTATATAAAATAGGGGGATTCAATTTTTTTTAAGATTCAAAACAATCTTTTTTAAGATTTTAAAAGTAGATACAAAGTTATCTTCAGTCTTTCATCCTCAAATTGATGGATAGACAAAGCATGTTAATTAAGTTTTGGAGCAATATTTGAAATGTACCATCAATTATCAATAAGATAATTGAATGATTTTTTTCTATTAATAAATTTTACTTATAATAACATAGTACATTCTTCTACTCATCAAATACATTTCTTTATTAATTATGGTTATCATCCATAACTTAATGCTTTTGACTTTTTAAAAGTGGATAATCTTACAACAGAAGATTTGACAAATTGTTTGTAAGAGGTACATGCAACAATGAAGGTACAATTAAAAGAAGCTCAAAAACAAAAAAAAATATAAACACAAATGCTTATTACAAGGAAAAATCACAATTCAACTTAAGTAATAAGATATGGTTACTTCATTGTAATATTAATATAGTACTCATTTTTATGACAAATTGAATTATTTTAAGCTTAGATTATTTCTTATTTATAAAAAAATCAATCTAATTATTAATTAATTATACTTATTAGAGTTAATAAAAATCCATCTTATATTCCACATATCTCTTTTTGAACCATACAAGACAATGAATATACCAAGAAAAAAATAGGTGCCACTTCCTCTTATAAAAGTGGACAATAATAAAGAATTTGAAGTAGAAGAAGTCTTAGATTGAAAAGGGTACCAAAATAGGTTAAAATATCTTGTTCATTGGCACAAGTATCATATAATTAAATACACATGAGAACTAGGAAAGAATCTTGTAAATATAACAAAAAAAGTGGAGGCTTTTTATCAATGACATCTGTCAAAATCTAGATAAAAAATCACAAATCTTTGCTATAAAAGAAATAAGTTCAAGAAAAAATGATATTTTACCTTATATTTTGGTTTATAACTTTTTTCTACATTGTGGCGCTAAGGAGGTGGAGAACCAACAACCAGCAAATTTAACTCAAGAGTTATCGTTTGCTAACTTATCAAATGAGAAATTACAATTGTATCAACCTTCATCACGATGTAATTGAGATGAAGGTCCTCAAGAACGACATATTCTTCCTCAAATATATAGCGAGATATAATATGTTTGATATCATGACCTTAGAAGAGATTCTTGATGTTTGGTGATTTTATTAGAGATAGGAACAACTCTTGACTATGTTCCAAATGTTTTATTTGAAAGAAGTTATGAAAGGTTCAACAATGATGAAATAATAGAGTGGTCTTCTAGCCCTAGTATGGAATACTATCAATGGTTGAGAGGATCTATCAACCATCTTAGAAAAAAACAAAGATCAAAGTATGTGGCAAACACAATTTGTTGCATTTTAGATTTCTTCAACATATGATGACCACGCCTTATGAAACTCATCTTCAAAAGAGAGAAATATTGTCACAGATATATTATCACAGACATATATAATTATTATAGTAATTATCAATATGATTAGATAGAAATAAATAGAAGTAGATAAAATAGATAAAAATAGATTAATTTTATAATATCTTCTAATGAAGCTTTTCAAAAGCTTTATAGACATGATTTTGAATTTATACATGTTTATAATTGACTTTTAGGTTGAAAACTTAATTAATAAGTTAATCATATATTATACATGTGGGTAGCTAATGGAACAAGCTAACTATGTGGCGCAAGTATAGAATATTTGTTTTACAAGTTAAGACATATGGCTTGCAAAGTCAATACATGTTGGAGGTCCTATAGAACATTACTGCATAGCTCCTAAATGGATAGTATATATAGAGGCAAGCATAAAACCTTCTTCACTCTTGTCAATTCTTTTCTTGCTCTAATAGAAATTCAAGAATCTTTACTTTTCTTGTCTTTTGGCAATACTCATTCCAATTTTCTTTTAATATAAATATTTTTTTACTTCTATTTTGTCATATTTCTTTGAAAAAAGTCTTACTTAATTATTTGCTTTTATTGGATTCTTGTCCTTGACATGTAATCTCTTACCAAGTCTTTGACTTGGAATAATGTTTTACAATAAGATAATTAAATATTGAACCTTTAATTCTAAGTTAATAGTAGCAACGTAGGTGGATTTAGTTATTTAAATAATTGCTTGAATTAAAATTTTCTATTTTTAGCATAATCTTTTATAATTCTTACATATGCATTGAAATAAATAAATAAAATTTTAAGAAATTTCTCAATAATTCATCTTTTTAAATCATCAACATCAAAATTTTGTGAAGATAAAATTCACATATCAATGAAATATTTATCTATAATTTTTCATTTTTATTTAATCTTAAATAGATATTTTGAATCAAAGTCTTTAATATTGAACCTACTTTAATATATTTTGAAAGAATCTCCCTACTTCTCAATGGATTTAGAATTATTGATCTATTTCTAATTTACAAATAGAAATTTTATTCAAATATATAAAACATAAACATTGTATCATAAAAAAATCTCTCAAAAGTAACATGCATTTATAATGCATATCTTTAAAAGCTCTATATTTTTTTATAAAAAATCTTCTACATTTGCTAAAATTTGTGCATATAAGTTGTATGGTTTGTTTATTATTTCAAGAATCTTTGTTAGAACCTTTCAAGTTTTTTAGATTTATTTTGTTTACAAACAAAAGTCTTTCAGAAGAAACAATACAATCTTAAGAATATTAAATCTTTATAAGTTTTTTTTGCATAAAATGCTTTATTTCTATATAAATTTTTTATTTAGATTCTATCTTAATGGACTAGTTTTTAGTTTATTTATTGAAAGGTTTTAATCTTTGTTGCATAAAAAATAATAATAACAAAAATAATCTTTTAATTTCAGATAAATTATTCAATTTTCAAACTTTATTTGGTACTACCAAGTACTCAAATATCTTTGCAATAAGTATTACTTAAATAAGAATTCAAAACTTACATTAAAAATTTGAGTAATTTATCAATTTGCATCATCCAAAACTATATTCTAATTTCGATTTTATATACATTTGAATGAAAATAAAAATAGCATAATATTTTTCACAATATAAACCTAAAATATTAGGCATTTTTTACTTGAATATATATATATATATATATAAATATATATATAAAATAAAATCATGAAACAAAGTCTACAATGTGAAACAAATATACAAGACATACAACTTGCAAGATCAAGTTTTAAGTAAACTCAAATTCACTAAGATTTTACTAGCTTGGAACTGTCCGAATAAGCTATATCAGAATACCATTAACTAACTAGTTAAAGAAATAAATATGGATTGATGGTAATGATGGAAATGGAGGCCAATTCATGTCAAAACCATCGCAATCTGAATAGCATCTTGTCATCTACAAATTTTTAAATATTTACGAATAAAAAAAAGAATCAGAGTCTGAATCAAAACCTTAGCCAATCCTAGAACGATAAGACTAACAATTAGATTTTTCAATGATCCACCCTAATTGCTCAGGGGGGCACTACCATCGGGCGTTGTGAAGAAGTCAAAAAATACTCCCAAAATGCATGATAAACTGCAAGCGAGTTAACTTCCTCTACCTTACAACTAACGAGCACTACTAATGCATGCTTCTTCATTGATTGAACTTCGACCAATGATACGCAACAGATCATGAAGACAATCAAGGGGTTATGAATTCGCTATTCACGTTCTAAGGTTTAGATGTGCTTCTCGTATCTCTTTGCTTTCTCTCCTGAATGATGATCATAAGCCTCCACCAGAGCACTACCGGCGAGTGCTGCCAAGGTCAAAGCTTGAGCGTGTAGCCTGAAATAAAATCCAAGCAATCAACGTCAACCTCCCACAAACAAAGCACCAAAACCAAACGATTCACGTAGACTGGTAGAGGATAAATTTCTTCGAACGGCCTTCATAGACAATATTGAACGTCCCAGTCATTCGGATTGACTCTCATTTTTAATATTCCGTATGTTCTACCACATCAAAGTACTAATAAAGCTAAGGACAGAGTGTGATGCACTTCCTCAAAACTTAAATAGACTTCCCTTAACTAATACGATGAACTACGTGTAGACAAGAAGTCAGCCTCATTACATACTTAACCTGAATTGTACATACCTGGCATGTATCAGTTTGACACTCATTTTCACCCCTGGCTGAGCGAAATTGTACGCAAATGAGCCTATCAATGATGAAGCCCAAAGTGTACCTGGCGCATGCAACCACGACTGTTAGAGAAAATGAATGGTGCAAGTACAAATTACCAAGGTAAAATCAAGCATATTTGACACTAAGAAGACATTGCAAGAAACAATGTATTTATTATCCACGTCAGTAAATTTTAGGTCTATTAGAGCTATCATCTAAAGGGAATCCCCTGGTCCCTGAAAATTTTAAACTCTGCGTAATTATAAATATAATGGATGGCGGACTGTTGCGAGGTGAATAAGGCATGTTCTATGTCGCCTTAAAGTCCCACGCGATGGCAAATCTCCGTTAAAAAAGGTCATCTACAGTCCAGGATGAATTTCCAATTCATTACAGATAAAGACCAGTAACCCAAATAACGAAAGCAGCAGGTACTTGTCCGCAAACTTGCGCACGCACTACGAAAATCAATAAAATTCTATCGTCGACATAGATGCTGTACATGATTAGATAACCAATTCTCCACATGTATTGATGAACCTACAAGCCTACAATGATTATATGATTGAGATACAGTGTCTGCTCCCTCAAGATTCACCCGATAGAATACGATTTACTGACATCAAACTCTCAAGACCTTGATTTCAGCAACACTAGCAAGCACTTGAACAAACACAAAAATCTACATAACTTCCACGAAAAAACAGAAAAAAATCGAAGGGATAAACTAGGTCACTCTGTTTTCCCATCCACGAACCAACTCCAAAACCACTTAAACGTGCAGCACAGTTCTTCGTCTCCACAAAATAATAAACACCCTCTCACGAGATTGCAATCACATTCTCGATTCCCATCCAGAACCTTGTACCGAATACAGTCCACACAAGAAACCCCCTAGCAAACAAAAAAAACCAAAACAGCAATAAAAAGTTCTAAAAGTCCACTGCGAATTCACCAACTGCACGCAATTTGTGCTCCGTGAACCACTCCCGAGCGCCCTCCATGATGCTGATACGTCGCTCCAACCAAAACCCTCGAACGAGCAGAAAAACGCACTGCAAAAATTGCCCTCCTTAGCTCCACAAAATCGCAAGGAAAGAATATCACGGAATGAGAGAAAAGAAGAGCGGCAGCAACATTATGACGGAGTCGGAACGCGACAACGGGGGTAACGAACGAATCCGTCCGCCATACGGCCTCTCCGTCCCCCCAACCGACGGTTCGTTCATGCGTGGCCTCGCCAGTGCATGCACCAGTGGTTGCGGTGTGCCGTGGAGGAAGCGCGACGCGAGGCTTCGCTTTTCTTCCACGTGAGTCCACGAACTGTTGCCTCGATTGCTGGGTTTTAATATGCCAATTCAGGAGAAGGAGGAGGAAAGAACGAGAGGGTGGTGATGATGCGTGCACATCGTCAGCATGTCTGTGTGCCGCGACCTGCAAACGACGACTCTCGCTGCGCTGTCAGCTTCCGCCGTCTCCTTCGCGGCAATATTTTAGCTTTGACGATCCTGTTTTCGAAGTGCTGGTCGTCCTGTGCTGTACTGCTGCCATCCTAAATTGACGTAAAATCGTTGCTTCTGATACCACTTCTGATAAGTCTTCATCTCCATTTCTTTGAGCTTATTGTTAAAGTTTAGTGAACTGTTGAGTTTAGTATAATTTGTTTCGAAGAGGGTTTGTGGACTTCGAGCGTAACCGCTGGAAGTGTTGAGAGTTTGGGTATGAATCGTCGTTCCGGCGAAGCCACACAAAATATGGTGGGTTTCAATTACATTGCATCAAACACAATCTCCCTGTCGGCAAGTTACAGCCGCAATCTAACTGCAAATCATTTCACCTAAATATTAATCATCGTAAATCATCCTGGCGTTGAGAAAAATTATAATAATCTTGAACAATGAATTTTACTTCTAATTTTTAGTGGGTATTGTCGTCCGTCCCCAAAATTCATGTGAACTCTAGTCCTGTGCATTTACTCGTCGGCAGTTGGTGCGCACCTCCCCCCGACTTCCTGTCAACACTTGGGCGGACACCAGCTTCACATACGCCGAGGCAAAGGTCTTGAAGAACAAGCTCTGGTCGGACGCAAACTTCGCAACCAAAGGCTTGGTACGAGCGTCACCTACCAGATTCGCATCAGCTCGGAAGAGTCCTCGGCCGCCGAGCACATCCTTGAAGTAGCGGTTGTCGAAGCTGTAGACTGAGAGGTCGTTAGGGAGTATGGTGAGGTTGAGGGGCTCCTTGGTGGGGCACAGAACGCGTAGCTGCAGGTAAAGTCCTGTGGACAGAGCGGGGTCTCGAGTGGGATACAATCTGTCTACCACATTGACGCAGTGCCCTATGCCCAGAGTATGCGCTCCCAGAATACCGACGGTCTCAGCCGCGGTCATGCCATAACGCGAGAAGACCTGGAGCATCGTGGAGACGGTGGAGGAAGCTGGTGGCAGCTGATCGTCAGCATTTTCGCTGCTTGCAGTTGTTGCGTCCTTGCGGCCCAACGGAATGGGAATTTCAGGCCCACCTGTGTAAGAGACAGCGTCTCGACCAGCCATGGCTACGATATCAGCGCAGGATACGACCCCCGGGCACTCCTTTTCGAGATCTTGCTTCACTCGGTCGATGATATCCAATCGTCGAATGCCAAAATTCCCGCCTGACTCTCTTTCCCCGTTGATGTCATTGGAGACGGAGTCTAACAAGATGGACGCATCACATTTCTCAACTTGGCAATCGTGGAAGGAGAGGCGAAGCAGAGAAGCTGGAGCACTTGGATCTAGCAGAAACGCTCTTCTCAAGCTGCTGCGCACAACCCGTTCGACGTTAGGGCATGTGCTTTTATAATAATCTGAGCTCAAGTGCCCTTCACTGAAGAGGATCACACTGCTCAGCAGCAATAATATCAAAACGGATCCCCACTCCATTCTGTACACCACCAATCGCCTTCTTGCGTCTAGCCCTCACACGCGAACACAGCTCCACTACCTCAAACTCTGCTTATATACTCAGCCTGCAAAACCACCAGTTTGTTAAGACCCAGCATTCCATGCATTACCAACTCACATGATCCCGTTGCTTATAGCCAGTATAAGTATGCTTGAATCCACGAAGTAATTAATTCCAGTGGGTGATTAGCTATGTGTTGAGTGTGTGTCAACTGCCTCGCCGACTGCCAAATTAATTACTCTCTACCAATAAGCCACCTAGAATAGTGTCAACGCCTTCTACCTCATTATGAATTGGCCCTAGACACGACTGCTCAGTCATCACTTTTCTGTAGCAGCACAGGTTGGGCACAAACGATTTGCTGCTTCTAAAATCTACAAGTGAAATACGTTACCTAGTTTTCGGCCTGAATAAGTGTCCAAGATCATTCAGGGGCTGAGGAATCCCTTGGGATTGTTATAAATACCCTTACTTTCAGTTAACGGAGGTGACATCCTTGGGCGATTTGTTCAGTTGAAGATAACGGATATCATGTGACTACTACATCCATGACGTTTTACTACAATAACCACGACAAAAAGCTTCAACAACAACGCATCTCAGTATTGAAATGCATTATTAGACATCAATGCGCAGTATCAGATACACCAGTCAGAGGTTCTGAGCGTGAAAGTGGAGACATATACTTGGTTTTCAAATTTTATTCGAACTTGAGAAACCCAAGAAGCTATCCCAGTAAACTTCTTGGGTCATGTACTTACAAAGAAAGAATCATAGCATGAAACTGGTTGGTAAATTACAGTAAGAGGGGCTCTTTGCCCACACATGAATTTATGAAGGTAGCCTTCTACTCCTAACTAACTCACTCAAAAAAAAAAAAAAAAAAAAAAAAAAATGATTGGTCCCAACAGATCGATCCCATCTCTTATGCTTGGGAAGCTCCGACTTCTTCTGGCATCTCCGAATTCCCAGTGTTCGTAGGTTCCGCACACATGCATTCCGGAGCAGGAAATGTGTACAAAGAGGCTTTAGGAGGAACAGTATAAAACGCATTCTTCTTCACAGAAAGTGCCTTCCGCGGCTGCAAGCCTTTAAAATCACTATGCCTCCGCATATCTTCTAGATTCTTCCGGAAAACCTCCCACCTGAACACCACGAAAGATCACTCATCACTCGTTGAACAAGCACCAATCTCAAAAAAATAGCACAAGTTCGTGAAAATGAATATTTCAGATACTTGGATAAGCAGACTTACGCAATATGTGGATCATCCAGGAGTCTAACAAGGCGTCGCTTGTCAGGGTTGATGGTCTTAGAGTGGCCCTTGTTAAGAAACCGGCGATGGCCCATTAATATTTGGGGAAAATTGCCACCCTGAGTGGTCACAAATACCTCGCTGTATAGGCAGACAGTGTAATCAATGGCTGCTAATCGCGACGAAAAGCCCTGCGCAAATGCATGGCCACTTTCCAATGAGTTCCTGTTTAAACCCAGTAACAACAAGCGACAACTAAAATATGGGGTTCATGCAGAATCGAACTACAACGAAAAAAGATCATTTACAGTTGCAACATGCAAAGACGGCCACGGAAGGCTCACCTTGAAGCGCTTGAGCTCCTCTGTTGATAATAAAGTCTCTTTAGTTTGAAGCAATGGAAACATTCTCCGGAGGGGTTCCATGCTCTCTTCACCTTTATAGATGTTCCCGGCTGCTAGAAATATGGGCGTAGAATTTCTGAAGCCCATTCCACGAAGCATCATTCCTACCTGTAGGCAAGGGGTGTCTTAAAATAATCTTCACAGCCCTTGAAACTTTGTTCTCACTAACAGGAAACTTGAGAGTACCATGAGCGTGTTGTAATACAATCACAAACCAACCTATACAGCAAAACTGTTCCATGATACATCATGAGACAGCTGCAGTAATATGCTCAACTGATTTTAAATCCGAAAGAACCGAAGCTAAACATATAAATTCAATTGCATACCTCAACAGGTGTCATTGGACACTTTCCATCTCTTCTAATGTCCTCTGGGGATAAGTTGACACGCCCTGTTCTGTTAAATTTACCCCTCCATGACTTTTCCCGAGCATTATCAAGCTGAGTTTTTTCTTCTTGATCACCTTTATAGACACATTGAGAGAAAGCAACCATGTCCTGTTGGGCGCACATGTCAAATAAAAACCCATTAACAGTTGCCCTCTGATGATATCAAAGGAGCTATAACAGAGCTACTTGTCAGTACTTTATGCCCAGTCAGGGAAACAAAGCAAGACCTGAAATTAAATGAGAATATACCTCTTCGAACCGCAGATGAATAGAGACATAATTGCCATTAGTACTTGCACTCTTAGCTTTCATTCGTTTAACTACTGTGTCACCCATCTCTGCGATTGGCTGGGAAAAACGCAGGGCCACAAAATTGGTGTAACACCTCAACTTTTGAATTTTCTTCGGAATACCATCATACGCCAACCGGTTAGCAAAGGGAGAGAACCTGATAACTCTGTATAACCCAACAGACCCAGCGCTTGTGTCAGAACCTAAACAGGATCTGACCATTGAAGTTAAATTCGTATCCGTTTTTTTGCAAGGAAAAGGAGAAATCAATCCATCTCTGAATGTTGCTCAACAGAAAAACTGCTTGCAGGGACTCTCCTGTAAATTTAATAGTTCAATCCCAATAACATATTAGTGGCAACACTGAGTGGGTGAAGGCACAACTAACCCCCGTTTTAAAAGCTCAGGGAGAGCAGACTCCAGGTAAAACCGAGGCAGGGACCATGCTTTAACCTTAGATATTTTGTATATCATGCTAGCGTTCTCATATCGTGCCATCACTTCTTTAGGTAGCTCCCGCATTATTCTTACTTGCTGAGATAGAGATTCGATGAAGTACTCTTCATCAAAAATATCCCCAAAACGGCTGAAGGAAACGTGAAAATACACTCAACATGAGCACAAATCCTTCAAGTACAAGCTCGGATTCCACCCAACAAGTAGCTTAAACCCTAAAGTAAAAAACCAGGTCTGCATTTTCATGACCTTAAATCTCCACATTGCACGTAAATTGTAAACGATTCCTCCAAAAACCAAACAATACATACCTGGGGTCTTTCCACACACTGTTCAGATGGAAGTGGGGTATAATGAGAGTGGCGTTTAGTAGCTTTGCAACTGCAACAGCATTACAAATCTGCAATAAATTCGCAGAATCAATGTTTAGACAAATCCACACGTATATCCGATTCTTCGCATAATTCCACGTTCAATTTCCAAATTGACACAAGCTGCTACCAAACAGAATCAGCGTTCATTTGAACAACAGTGGCACCTGTATGAGTTTCTATACAACAAACAATAGGAATACTAAACAACACATACTGTGGAGCGTTGTTGGTTAAGTCCGCCATTGGCCTCTACAAGAATATAACCGTTTGATTCTGGAAGACCTACAGAAAATGCATCAAAACTCAAGGCATGTTAGTTGAGATTACAATTACGAAGAAGGCCCACAAGAATTACCCACTTTAAAACAAGAAACTAACACTCAAGCATCACGATTTACTTCATCTATTTATCCATCAACGTCAGACAATTTAAAGACAGTCGAGGCGGATGCTACGGAACTAGAGGTGGAGAAGGAATGAAAAATTCAAAGCGTAATCACAACAGCAATGCAGAATTGTATGACCAACACAAAACAAAGCAGCTGACGCACAACCTGAAGGACCAACCTCGGCAATTACCTGCGTCATTTTTTATGGAATTAAGGCAGGGCGTAAAGCCTCCACCGTCTTTAGGGTATTCCCAAACCGATAGAACCTGTCGTCCATGACTTCCTCCAACTGCATCATTTAGAGTCCCAAATTCCACCTATACACAATCTATCCAATGAGGTTCCAGCCAAGAATCTAAAACCTCAACTCCAAGAGATTACATAAAACCATGCCATCCAGGTAGACAGCAGAGCTCAAACAGTTACTGCTGGACGGAACTGCCACTGTCGAACTTGGACGATTTACAATTGAAACGAGACTTGTTTCCATTTCTTAACTACAGAAGTCGTAAATTGTGACAATCAGAGACATGTGAGGGAACGAAAACGTCTTTGGAATACAAAACTATCCGAATCCTTACACATTACGAGAAAGATGCTCACCCCATAAAAGGAGGAGTCAGCCCGCTCCATCTCCGGCCATAGATTCTCAAACACTTGGTCACTCCGATACACAGATCCAGGTCGATGCCTGCCTGGAAACGGCGGAAAGTCTACAGAAATATCGCCGCCCATGTAAAGCAGCATCCCCGAGACATAGATGAAGGGGATGAGCAGGAGCACTCGATGTCGTCTAAAGAAGAAATGTAGCAACAGCAGGGTCAGCTTCTGCAGGAATGTGGCGCCTTGGCGCGCTTTCACGCCGGGGGATCCATACTTAACCTTCGTGTCGCGACTGCTTCGACCGAGAGATCTCCCGCTGCGTAGGCGCGGGGAACTGCCGGGCGACATTGGAGGAGAGGAGGAGACATACGTAGCGACATGGCTGTGCCCGTTCTGGATACCAGCAGGGCGGCCGAATACATGCATGTGATCTTTTCCGTTCTGCATCAGAGGATGCGAAGTACCCGCCCGCCGTAGTCCATCTGTCAACAGCGCTTATCTAGTTATTGAACCTCCAGACCATCACCACCTTGCACAGCGATAAAATCTAAACCTCGATTCCTCTGCTCCTGCTTTCAGTTTTCCGACAAATTTGGGATCAACGGGAGAAAACTGCACGCTCCCGAACCGCAGAATGCAACGACGTAAGAGGTCTCGTTTAGATGAAGCAGCACCAAATCCCGTCGTTCGAAATTCCCAATGAGATTGGCGTATCTAATATTTCTCTATGTAAAGAGTGGAAGCCGGAGTTGGTGTTGCAACCTAGTCGAGTTAAGAGTTATGGGAGACCAAGTGAAAAAATAACGTAACAGCCTATTGTGTCACACTTACTGAGCATCCCTGCCCAGATTGTTTCCTGTTGGGGTTTCCGGCAATGAAGAAAAGGTATTTCCAAACCGATGATGCCTGCACCTTCCTGCAGACGGATGAAGGAAGGCAGGAAAGATGGATGGCGTTGGGAGACTGATACTTGCAAGAGACCACCTCAAGCAAGGAGATCCTGCCCCAGTCCTGCAACGACAAACTGCGGATAAATTCACTCTGAGATTCATACATGTGTCAGCGCAAAGCTCCACCCCTTCGTCGTCGGCGAACCACAGCCAGCGGCAAAATCTCCAACCCTTACAGCACCATAACGAGGTGCGGAACCGCAGAGACCCAATCAATCAATCGAAGCTCCCTCAGAACTTAACCAACCAACTAACCTCCTAACAGTACGAATTTCCCAACTTCAAATCAGCTTCACACGCATCACGCACCCCGACCAGCCGCAAGACACACAAACACACACACACACACACCTACACGCCTCGAAAGGGACGCACACCCAAAAAACGGCCCTCGTAGAACGCCCTTTCCCACCACGAAATCTCTCAAAAAAGCGATAAAAATTCAATAGTAGGCTGACCTATACGCTTCACCACAGAAAAACGGCCCCCCTAAGCACCCACCCTCCTCCGATACACACACAACTCCAAGAGCCCACAGAAACTCTAACCGTGTCGTCTTCGTCCACCTCCTCCTCCTCTTCCGCGGCACATTGGCACACAACGCAAGCCCTTTCAAAGCCAGCTAAACTGGCAAATCATACCGTCCTCTAAAATATGTCTTCGACACTAAAAAGCCTGCATAGCTACGCAATGACAACCACAACGAGCGAACAACAAAACTCTCACACACACTCTCTCACATCCGAACCAAAACAGAACCGATGGATCGATCAACTCCCCGACCAGAACGCGCGCTGCCAGCAACATCCAACAACACACACATACATTACTCGTCCCCTTTTGCCTGCAACATTCCTTCCCCGGGCACTGATTTACCCCCAACCCCCTCCCCAATGCCACAGCCCAATCATGGCCTCCTCGGCGCCCAGCTGGGAGGCGTCCATTGGCGAACCGGTGGTACCAGGCGCAAAGCTCACGTTGTTCCTCAGGAACACCTTTTCTAAATCGTTTAAAACTCTCTTCCCCTGTTATTGTTGAAATCGACGCTTTACCAGATTAGGATGAGATGGTGCTCTACTACCGTTTCTTTCTTTCTTACTCTCAAGCCTTTGCCTTCCCTTCACCGTCACATGATTTCCTATTGAGTCCTGTGGGTGGTGTCGAAACTGGTTTTAAGTACGCACTTGGGAGGCAAACTGGAGTTCCCATTTGCGCTTGTTGCAATTCTCTCCCTCCGTAAATAGCCTGCTTCTGTTAAAATCGGAGTTGCATTCAGTAAAATTGAAACTGATTCACTATCTACTGCTGACTATTGGAGATTGAGTTTAGTGAAACTGTGGCTGAAAGCTGTGTGGGAGGTGCTGAAATGAGATTTTTTGCAGGATTTGGGGGTTCAAAATGCATCAAATGATGTGTTGGTTTGTTTCAGGATATGATATTTGTGGGACAATAACAAATCATCTAGCTTTTCTCTTTTCTGGATTTCATACAATTTGTGAAGAAACGAACTATGAATGACACTAATAAATTTCTGAAATAGAAATGGGTAAGTGTCAAAAACGTTGTAATCTTAGGCTAGAAAATAGCAATGAGGACAAATGGCATTTGTATGGTTTGAGAGGTCATTCTAGGCAACCCACTTTTTGCTTTGCTTTCAATTCTCTTTGAAAGTGTGTTAAGCTTTGACATGGGTTATGAAATCACATAAACCCACAAGTATAATTGTTGTTGTTGTTATTATTATGGGGTACATCATTCCTTTACTTTCAGCAGTGAGAGAGCCAATGAATGTTCCACATAACCCAGAACTGGGGTCTCATGCCACCACTACAGTCAAATGCAGGAAACCTGAGCTGTGATGTAGGTCCATGTGGTCAGGAAACTGCAAAGTCTCTTTCAAGGTCACAAGCAAAGACTTGGGCAGGGTCACATCTGGCCCACAGCAGCAAAAGGTAATTGTGACCAAGTCAAAACAACACTCTCTGTTGTGAGTACTACTGCTTCACTGAGAGATAGTGGGAATCATAAAAATACTCTTCCTATTTTTTTTCTTTTTCTTATCTTTTTTCTTACAATTGAGTATTCAAATGATAAATACAAGTTAAGCTAAGGAGAGAGAGTACAAAGGGTTGTTGTCATTGTCACTCTTTTTAGCACAGGGATGCAAACTTTGATCACTCCCAAGTAGAAAGCTACATTGCAAGGTCAAGCATCCCTCACAGAATGAATAATTACAAATGAATGTGTGTGTGTGTGTGTGTAGGAGAATCCCCCATCAAAGACACATTGCATTCAAATCTAGTACCCCAAATGATGATCATGGAGAAACAACCCTTGAGCTTGTACCAATAAGAGTGTGTTGGGATTGAACATTTGTGGTAAATGTTAACTTAATTCATAAAATTTAGCTTTGTTCAAAATAACAAAGTGCATATAGCTATACTTAGAAAAAGAAAAAGAAAAAGAAAAAAACAAAACAAAACAAAACAAAACATAGCCATCTCCTTGCATAGTTAATTAAACTCAATGTCTCATTTTGTTGTGCTAAACCCTTCTACTACAAACACCATAGTCTATACCTCATGCTTTTTATGTTCAAATTTGTATACAAGGGAAGAAGAGAGAAATGATAACAAGAAAATAAATCCAAAGATTACTCATGTGGGGGAGAACATCCATTCATTAATATTTGGGGGTTTATTCTATCATGGTACACAACAATGAGCTCAATCAATGTAACCAAACATATTACTTTCCACTTTGGGGCCAAAGCATGAGTCCTATTCAACATACTTGGGATGTTGAAAAATAGTTACACATGAAAAATATTGACGAGAAAGACATGCATTTGGATAAGGCACTCAAATGACATGATTTTGGTGGCTTAGAAATACTGGAAGACTTTGGATTGACAAGCTGACCAGGTGCATCAGACTCATCTTCAGAAAAACAATACTCAGGTGGATTCCAGAAGACTTGAACTTGTCTTAGTCACAAAGTCTTCAATATCAAGTGTCACTTGCTGACCCATATGATAGATTTTTCATACAAATTGAGCAGAATATAGCAAGACTTCTCATTCTACCACCTTCAACTATTTTATTTTTGAATGCATTTGTGATTTGAAATACCAAAAAGCTGCTGGCACATTTACCATATAAGCAAAATAAGGCAACACATTAGTGCATCATGTTGCCTCCATTAAATTTTAGCCTTTGAGTACTGTTGAATGGAGAGATTTTTAAGGCTTGCATACCCACACTTTTGGATTTTTAAATTTTTTAATATTATGTTTCTATATCACTGCTAATACAGTTGGTAGTGATTAATACATCAAACAAGCAGACACTCACTCATGAGCAGCAGTGTACTCCACTGCATGGGAATAAAATTATAATAATTATTATCTAGTGAAACTAACAGAGTAGTGGCAAAAATACCTTAATAATGGAATACTAGTTGGATTCAACACCACCATTCACTGTAAACCATCATCTTTGCCTTTCCTTAATTCACACTCCACATCTAACACATGACAAAAAAAAAAAATTAAAAAAAATAATGTATACAAGACTATGATAAAGCATCCACAAGCACAAGTATGTTGCACAAAAGCTACAACAAATAAAAATGAAAACAAAACCAAACACACTGAACTGAGTTAAGTTAAGAGGGAGCCAAGTTCATTAAGAATCCAACAAGTGGGAGAAAACAAGAAAAAGCTTTTACGATGCTTTTACCATAATTTGGATTACAAGGAATGATGACTTTCACCACCGATTATACTATCATTAGTGGAATAACACCAAAAGGAATTAGGAATAGATGACATCATCTTAGGACAGAAAACAGTGTCGAGGGAGGGAGTTGACGTCAGCATCATGGAACAGAGGCTGGGGCATTCGAATGAATGAATGAATTAGAGGAAGAAGGATCGTTTTTCATCCATTCATGCACACAGTGGAGTTGGTAGATGGATGGTTCCAGATCCTCTTCCAGCGCATCCAACACGCCACGTAATGCTGAGCTGGCGTGAGGCACCAGGACCCACCAATCACAACCGCCACCCACAAACTGTGCAAATAAAAAAAACAAACAAACAAACAAACAAACAAATAGCCCCTCGCCAGCAGCAGTTTTCCAATAACTAACAGAATCCAGGGAAACATTCTCACCCACGAACTGGCTGGCCACTGTGGATGGCATTCAGTGCACTTGGAACACACACACAAACCAGACCCATGCCAAACTGGAATTGGCTGAGTTGGCATGCTGAGGTGTCGATTCAGCGTAACACACTGCCTGGAATCTTCACCTCCATCATCTGTGCCCTGTCCCCCCACTCCGCTATTGTTACAAGCCTGCACTGCACATGATTGTTTCTGTGTTTTCCCACAAAATCTGGACCCACATTTGGCCTTTTGTGTGTATATATATACATGATACATCCTTGGCTCCAATGTCAAAGGAGGACCAATGAACCCCCCTCCTCCACATTGCTCAATATTATATTTAAGATTAGGACTTAGGTGGATGTTTCAGCGCCAAACTGCTTGTTGTGTTTAACTATTAATAAACCGTGGTTTTGTTGGACTGCTTTTGTGTCACTACTGGCAAACCCTAATTCTTTGACCTTGCATTTGTCTTCACATGCTTGGTTGGGGTTGTGGGTCACACTGCTTTCTTGTGAAGAACTCCATTCTCATGGTCACTGTCAGAGGAATGTGGGTGTGTGTGTTCATCATGGGATTCTCAATAAAGTTGGTACTAAAACTTATAAGTTTTTTGTGTTTAGGAAAATGGGTCATGCCTAATAGTGTTTCTTGAACTGAAAATAGGATTATATTAGGGAATAAAAAATGAATCATATCTTTCAGGATATGTAACTATTATGTCATGAGAAATGAATCATATCTTGCATGATATTATAATCTTGCCTGATATTATAATCTTGCATGATATATAATTATTATGAGTGGATGAAACAGAACAATTTCCTTTCTTTATAATAATGATAGTTGCATGTATCTCAATTTTAAATCATAACATTGAGTTGTCTTTTCTGACAAGATAGTTTGAATCAATTGTTAATGATGTGGTATATTCTGTGATACTTACAGACAACCATGTTGTAGTTGCTAAATGGTGTGTTAAGCAGTATTATTAGCACACAGTAACTTCACATTTTCAGCCATTAAGAATCTTAAATGAATGCGGTGTTGATGGTGATCTTAATCTGGAAACAAAAAAAAAAAAAAAAAACAAAAAAACAAAAAAACAAAAAAAAAGTGATTATGAATTTGAAAGTAGTAATTTACTTTCAGGAAAAAAAGGAAAAAAAAAAAAAAAAAAAAAAAAACAGGAACATTTATCTTTGTATTGGAAAAAAAATAAATAAATAAATGGTTTTAAATGAATCGCATTATATTACGACTTAAGTAGATGTAACATGAAATGTTAATTTAATTGAAATAATAAGTAGCTAAGGCTTAATTTTACTGTCAGCTGTTATCTATATTGAGGAAGTTCTTTATTTTTTTATTTTTTTATTTTATTTTTTATATATTATAAAACCTTTGTTGATCCAAAGAAACTTTATGACTTTTACGCATAAATCCTTCTACTTTATTTGCTGATTTTGTGTAATGGAAAAATGAACAATGAAAAAAAAAAAAAAAAAAAAAAAAAAACCCACACAATATAAATGGTATAGGAGACATTTTGATTAGCTTTTAAAATAATCTCCTTTCTACGACTTGCTAGTCTGTACTTCAGAAAATACTAAATAGGAGTTGAAGGTATTAGCTGATGAGTTGCATTTTAGAAATGGAACCGTAGGAAAGATATTTCAAAATAATTAAATAGAAAGAAATGTAAAATTTTATATGTTCATGCAATATTCACGTCAAGACATTTTCTATAATTTCCTCTCAGAAAATGCCACGAACTGAAGGCCATGGCTGGCCACCTGCTCCAGTGTCCTCATCTCACTGCAGCAGTGCCTCTCATGCCTTGCTGGACCTCTGATTCTAATCCAAGACACAGACTGAAAGTATTGGGAAAAAAACAAAAATCAAAATGAAAAGCGAAAGAGAGAAAGTACCAAATATGGCTGGAAATATGAGGCAAAAGCTGCCGTGCTGCAGGCCATTGCAGAAAGGAGATTTTTTTAAAAAAAATAAATTAAAATTTTTAAAAATTGTTGGTAACTTCCGTGTCTGAATTTCCTTGAATTTGGGATTCATGGTCGTTTCATAGTACTATTGAAATAAAAAAGAAGAATATATGCTGAAAATTATGAAAATTAAACGTCTGTGTGAGCAGTGTTTTATTTAATTCTCATGGCTAAAATCGACCTATTCGACTCGTGTTTTCTACAACCGTGTTGGGTACGTAAAGAATTCTCTCGGTGTCGTGTAATTCAATGTAACGTTGAGAACATATACTTACTTCTCATATTTAGTTTTCCTTGGTTGTAAGTAAAGTGGGTTATTTTATTATATTTGTTTTCCTTTGTGGATTTTGTGTGGGTGGTCCGGTTCCCTTTGGGCCTTGTAGGTCACCAAATCACACAGCGCCGTGCTGTCCTGGTGCCATCCTGAGTTAAAGGCAAGCAAAGGGGCTCTGATCATTGGAGATTCCCTTTGATGGATCCCACACTCTACCCCTCAATGGGCCTATAGCCCCCACTCATTGGGCCCCTTTTCTTACTCACTCAATCACACATAGTATCCCATGCTGAAACTACCCAAGTTTTCATTTCTTTCAAAAAGGAAAGAACAAGAAAGAAACGAAAAGGAAATAAAATAAAAGAAAATGCTGCTCTTCATTACATGCAAATGAGATTATCTCGAGAGACATCTTTTGGGTGCAACAAAGTGAACATGGAATCAAAAAATACAGAATGCACCAAGAAAGGTCTGTGCAGTGCTTGGAATGAGAAACGTTCATCCATGGATGAAAGATTCCATGTGTCTTGTGAAAAAAATAATAAAATAATAAAAACCCTATATCTGTTCAATTAAGATATATGGTCATTTGAAAATAGAAGCATTGCTTTAGTAACATCATTGTATACTATACAAGAACCAAAAGTGTACATACTCATTGAAACATTTAATGACTTTTAGCAAACAAGATTACAACTTTTCTCTTGAAATGTAGTTTTTATTTTAATTTATTTTGTATGTCATTTTTTGTGTACAAGTTTTCAACGGTAGGAGTTATAACTCCAAGATCATGCAATGCCCTATGCCAAGAAACATCCACATGTGCAAAAGTACATAAAAACTGTCAAACATGGTGGAAGTTTCTAACAAATAAAACACATTTCAATTCACAAATGTGCTTTTTTGGGGGGGAACCATCACAGCTTCAATCATAAATCAGCCATGCAGGGGACAACACCTTCTCATAAAAACTCTTGCAAACTCACTTCAGAACAAAAGAACTGAAAATAATGTGTTTTCTTCTTTATGTTACAACAGTTGCATGCATCATTGATTGATGAATCTTTGCTGGAATTCATAATAGTCATAATTTTTGCAAGTGTTCCTGTGTGTTTGTATGAGAGCCATTAAATTTTTTTTTGCTTTTTTTTTTCTTATAAATGTGAGGACACACACACACACTCACACACACACACACACACATATATATATATATATATATATATATATATAAACATACTCTTGTTTTAGAAATAACTTTCTGGTGGGCAGGGGAAAATACTGTGATGCCTAATCCAAATGATGGAGGCTTTGAGTGAATTATGTGGGAAAAAGATTCAAACTTTTGAATATGCTTTTGCAATGAGTGTAGTCGTGCTCTTCATACAATGCTATGATGCCCAATCATGGGAGTAGTGGGTGGTTTAATTTTCTTGAAGGGTATTTGTAGGGTAACCATTGGAAGAAGGCAAGAAAAAGAAACACAAAGACGATGGCAAAAGATAAGAAGAATGGAAAGAGGCAAAAAAGCAGAAAAGAGAAGGATGGAAAAAGAATGAATGAGGAATTGAAAAGGTGTTTATGGAAAGAAAAGTTATAGGAAGGGAAAGCGGCATAGAGTGAAAAGGAAAAAGTACAAGGGTTGATTCCTGAGCAGAGGAATTTGGGGCACTACACATTGTTTGCCAAGTGGATAACACCACGAGTCCAGCGTGGCAGCTGCCAGCTCCTCTCCACATGGAACTCACCCACTACTAGGAAATATATAAAAAAAGTAAAAATTAGGATTTGACCACAGCGTTGACAAGGGGGTGGTTGGTTCCAAAACTTAGATACGGCAGCCCTAATCTTTGGCCAAACAACAAGTATCTCTCGTTTCTTGCTTCGTTCAAGTAATCTCAGAGAATTGAATGTGGTGTATCGAATATTTCACTGTGTTGTTTACTGTGTTAGAGGTGAACCACACAGTGCAACATTCGATACGTTTGATGAAACACTTTTCAATGAAATGTTATTTTGGGTATCCGTTTTTGACATTGGTGGAGTGGGATGAGGGACAGTGAAAATGGATCTGATGATGAAGCGGCGTCGAGCTGACAGAGAGAGTGAGAGAGAGGAAAAGACAGCTCTTGGTGTGGGATCAACATCATGGGGAACTTATTGTTTTTGCAGAGGCGCAGTTGCAACAGCTGGGTTGTGAAGGAATAGTAAAGTGGTGGTAAAATTTTACATGAGAATATTGGATGGGTTTCGACAGCCTTCAAAATTGATTGATTACCACAGCAGTGTAAAGGAAGGACATGGGAACAAGGGTGGGCGCAGGAGCAATCAAAAACTCATGTTTAGGGTTCCGGGAAAGGTCAAACACAGCATCTTAACAACTTCTGCATATGTTGGTACGAGATTTTCCTGCCGGAAACGAAAGAAAATGAAAAAAGTAATGTGGAGAAGAAACAAACAAGGGAAGATGGAGAAGGAGAAGACTGCCAAATTCAAATCGAGATAAAAGTAGTGCACCCGACACCGCCTCGTTGCTGCGCTCGTGTAGCTGCGCTCGTGTAGCTGCGCTCGTTCGCCGTATCCTACAACTCTTCACCCCAACTACATCCGAATCAGACAATCAGTCGACTACTGTCACTTCGCAATCTTTACAACAATCACCATCGTGACCGCGCATCGAGGGTTTTTATTTTTTGGGTTTGAGAAGCAAGCATTGGCAAGGATCATGTTGACATAGTCGCAAGCAGTAGTGACCAGGGTGGGTGTAGTGATAGATTGCGGCAAGTGTCGTGGATATAGCAGGGATTTTGCGGACAAAGGCGCTGGTGCAGGTCGATTTCTAGGCAAATTGGTGTAGACCTTGTAAGCTCGTGGCCACCAGTATGATGAGAAGTTGTTGGGCAATGCGACGACTCTCTCAAACATCTTACTGTTGATAAACTCCAAGTCGATGTATCAGAACCAATGCACATGGAACAAAACCACTTCATAAAATTTTCAACACACGTAGAGTACTATGACAGAATTTTTGGAGTCTCAACGCAAATTGAAGTGAAATCTGGAGTTGGAGCATTTAACCTGGGCAATTATGATCACTCCAAGAGTATGTCGATCAAGACTAATGCGCCCAATAACTTCGACGAGTGTTAAGAAACACGGATATAGATAGATGTGAGGTATAGCTCATGGGAGAATGTCTCCGTGCCGGCCTTACTGATAGCGCGCTTTTGATGATAAGGATCATACACAACTATATTGAAGCTTAGATAAGTGGTATGGTGATAATCGCCAGAAAAATAATGTCATGTAGAAGTAAGCAGTACGACGAAACCCATCAAAAGGGTTGCTGCGGTTCTTCCTGTCGAGTTAGATGTCTAGTTGTACGCAGTCAGGAGATATGTTACATGTGTCTTGATCCACACAAATATATTCAATTCGCGTTGCTACAATCCTACACGCAGAGACTGTTTCTACACGGTAAAGAAGTTTCAATCGACTGGCATTGCTCTGTAGATCACGTTCAGATTTGTCTCACGCCGGCCGTCCTGTGCTGTCAGTTGTATACTGTTCACATGCCATATCCAGATGTCTGATTTGGTCAAGGTACTGAGTGAGATTCGGAGCTCCACGGTTCCATCAAAAAAACAATTAAATAAGTTATATACTGGTCGATAAACAAGCGATGCTGGAGGCGGAATATTATTTCTAAGTGTATGTTCATAAACTTCCCTACCTGACATTCTCAAAATAAATTCGAATTCTCTCCATTTCAACAGAAACGAAGAAATTTACATGAACGAAATGCATGTTTAAGCTTTTCAGGAAACGCCCAACTGATAACCTAGTCTAAACCCATTAACAATGTGAATCTACGATGAAGTTTGAGGCTCAGAACCCAGAATGCCAGACGAAACGGTGAACCCAAGTAGATTTCAGGACTTGGTATGAACACAATCGTCAACTACTTCTCGTCTTCCAGACGGAAATGCATTCCACACAAATGTACGATGCAGTTCCATAAAAGACAAACTTCCAGTCTGAAATTCTGATCTGACTTGAAAACAAGAACCGAGCAATTCAATCAAGAGAAAATTGTTACATACGCATGATAAAAACTACATTGATTGCAGGTTTACCTCAAGCAGGATAAGGTCCTAAAATTTCGACTAATAATGGCAATGAAATGAACAACAAACCTCGACCAGTAAGCGACGAGTTACGCAGCTGTAAGAGAAGGGAGGCACTTCTTGAGCATGGATTCAATTTTCGCCAACGATATCGCGCCCTCGTAGCGTCCACCAGGAATGGGTTTGCCATCTGCGAACATGATAAGCGTCGGCAACCCATACACTTTGTACTCCTCAACAAGCGTTGGGTTAGGGTCCGTCTCAACCTTCACAACCTTCAACTTCCCATCATACTTCCTGTCAATGGTGTCCATGCTGCTGGCCACAAGCTTACAAGGTCCACACCAATTTGCCCAGAAATCAACCAGCACCGGCTCCTTCGATTGCCGCACCTCTGCGTCAAAATTATCCTGGTTTACGCTAATAACCTTACACCGAACTCCAAAGATAGAAATTCTCTGACTACCCTTGCTAACCATCGCCCGCAACGACCCACAGCTCGCTGGCCCCTGCCATCTCCACGATACTTGCCGCAATCCGCCACTACCCAACACCGGAATCTGTGCCGAAACCCTACATCCTGCTTCACAACAATTGTTCCTAACCAAACCCGACGACACTGCCCCAGCCCTGCTCACCACTGCTTGCGACGATGTCAACATGATAATTGCCAATGCTTGCTTCTCAAACCCAAAAAACAAAAAACCCTCGATGCGCGGTCACGATGGTGACTGTTGTAAAGATTGAGAATTGACAATAGTCGACTGATTGTCTGATTCGGATGTAGTTGGGGTGAAGAGCTGCAGGATACGGCGAAATGAGCGCAGCTAACCAAGCAGCAACGAGGCGGTGTCCGGTCCATTACTTTTACCTCGATCTCTATTTTACTGGGTTCATCTTCCCACGTTTGTTTGTTTTATAAAATGATATAATTTTCTGGCGAAATCCATCCAAGGAATTGAACAGAAGAATCTATTGGATGGATTTCAACGAACCATCAATCTGAACAGAAGAATCTGGAAAACCTATCTAGACATACCATGCCAAGAATCTCTAACCCAACTGCTCTTCACATCCCTAGTTAAAGCGGTTCAGAGATTTTATATCCTTAACGCATGTTTGAAAAACCCACCTAGTAAAAGAACATCTACATGTCTGCGATCCTACCCATTACCTTGCTATCCTTGAAGTGCACAACAGGAAACAGAACATGAAGATGCCTCTTTGTCTGAATTTGTTGACGCTGAGAACATGGATTCCAGGGCATGGAGAAATCTTGAGCGTGTTTAGCACGTATATCGAAGTATTACCCATCAAATTATTAGTTACTGTCAGAGATTTGATTGCGTGTCTAGCGATTAATCTGTGCATATTCCCAGCACGTTGTGAATGTTCCATGCAATCTCCACGCGTACCAAGCCGGGAGATCACGGGGTTGTGGCCTTAGGCCTTCGGGTCGGGACAGGGTTAAAATAAGACCTGCCAGATGTGATGCGTTCTTATCATTCTGCATTGAAAGTTGCGCGGATTACGTTAGACACTCCACATGGCATACAATTCAAACAGCATGAGAACTCTGCCGGATTGTGTACACAACACGAGCAATTCTGCATGTTCCGTGTAAGGAGTCGTGTGAAGCAGTCGTCACCATTGAGGAAATCCGGCGACGCGATCAGACTCCGCCTCTGACCTTGATGCTTTACAAATTAGTGAGAGAGTCTCTGATGTATTCGAAGTAAGGCATTTCTACCCACTCGGCACAATGTGCTAAAAGCTTCTTCGAAGAACTGTGGGAGAGTAGTAAATCAGGACTCGTCACAATGTTCAGTAAAATAAGAGTTTGTATTTTCAGAAGGACTTGATTTCATTACAATCAACGAAATGTGAAAATGCTCCGTGATGTTGCAGCACATATTCAGTTTTAATCAAATCAACATGGCCTTATCTACCTACTCATTTTTTAAGAATTTCCGGATATAATTTGATGTTCAAATTAAGGGATGGAGATAACTGCATCGGGAGCTAGTAAGCAAACTTCAATCGATTAAGTAAACGATCATAGGAGGAAATGGGGGTAGAAGACAGAGCCAACAACAGTTCAAAGTAGAAACAGGGATCACTCCAAGAAATAGAGTAAAGTTTCATGAATTGATCGGAGCAATTACAGTACAAAAATTCCTAATCTGTACAATTGGAAACAACTTATGGTTTCCTGCGAGCGGCAAATCTCGGTGCCAATGAATATGAGACTCGTCGCCTCGTTGTTCCTGAACTACGGTCTATTGCAGGGGTTCAGAAAATGCCCCGAAAATCAATTTGAAACACTAACACCACGCCATCAAGTAAAAAACAGACTGGAGACACATCCGTCTACCGCTGAGATGCTCGAATGAAAGTCTCGTAGAAATTGAGCCCGTCAAACTGTGGCGCCATCTTGGGAGTCCTGCTGCTACTCCTCCGAGCCGCCTCCTGCCTCAACCCAGCGTTCTTCTCAACGTCACGCTTCACTTGCTCTGCATCCCCCTCCCGTCGCGAGCTATCAACACCACTCACTCCTTTCGGCGACTCCATCATCGCAGCCTCAAAGCTCACCAACGCTACCGACCCTGCGGCCGAAGCAATTCGGATCCACTTCGAAAACGCACCCATAATTCAGAGTTTCAAACCTACCACAACCTTGCCAAAATCTCCTGTAACGATGTCTCCCTTCCAAATTGAGCACAGATCCGCGCAGCACACACTACCAGTACGGGCCAAAGAGATAAAGAGCTAAAGAGCACACAATGAAGTGCAACGAATCTCAATCCTGTATAAAAGCAATCAAAAGTCTGCAATTCACCACGACGCGCCAATAATCAATCCTACCTCGGTTGCTGGTGGCGTGCGACTCTTATTATTTCGGCGTGAAGTTACGGCAGCCTTCATTCAGCTTGCCTAGTCCGCAACGCGGCAACCAGAAGCTTCACGAGAGACCAATCAAAAGCATCTCCTATAACCGCTCACCTGTACATTATACTTGGATTTAGCTAACACATGTTCGCATTATCGACAGGCTCGGAGAGGACGAGTCCACGCTGCGCGGAGACTATAAACGGCATTGGGGGCTGAAAGTTCACCGCGTGGGCTGTCGCGGTCGCGCGTTCAAATGTTGGAGGTGAGACTGGGTTCGGATGGGGCGGCTGACGTGGGGGACTACTTCCAGGTGGCAAGTGAGGTGGCGTTGCTGACTAGACTACGAGGGTCGGTAACTAGGGTAGTTGCACGGTTGGGTCGGGCACAGGGGTGGTGGACCAGGGCAGCTTTGGCCGCGCTGGCTGACACGTTTTGCTTGTGTGGGGAGACTTGCAAAAGTAACAGACTTGTGGGTACTCGGCAGACGCTGAACTTCATTTTATTTCATAAAAAAGCAAATAATGGCACCCACACCCACACACACACACACACACACATATATATATATATATATATATAATTATATGTTAATGAGAAAGTGTAGTTCTTTATGGCAATCGTCAAATGATCAGATTTTTTTTAAAATAAATAATATAAAAATAAACACACATCTACATATATCTACATTTGCGTGGTTTGTGAATGCTATATTAAGCGTGATATGTTAACATTTGTGAATGCTACATGTGACATATGCGTGGTTTGTGAATGCTACATGATAAGTAACTGAATTTCTTTGATGAATAGTGTAATGAGCATTATTTGGAAGTGTCTGTCCATCTCTGTATGGTTTGTTTTCACATGAGGGTATCTACTAATATGCATGATATTAAGCATGATATGTTCTGTATCAATCATTTCTTTCTTATCTCAATGTTTAGATGCTATTATTTCACTGAGTTAATGGTGATGAAATGCTGTGTTGTGTGTTTGTGTGTGTGTGTGTGTGTTTCTTTTTTGAAAATTGGGTTTGTCCATCCATTAGTATATTTTGCTTTGAAATAGGATATTATTGAGAGTATGCAAGTGGTTAATTCTTTATTTGTGATTTTAATTAATCCATATATATATATATATATAATCATCTTACTTTAGTATAATTTCTTATTTCAATCATATCAATGTTTTAATTTTCTCATTGAATTGATGTTATTAAAAATAAATCTAATCATTTTGTTATATCTATATTATTCAAAATCATTCTCTAACAATCAGGAGCTATAATAATTTTCATTTTTTTAGGTTAGCATAATAGCTTCATCAAATATTAGTTTTCAAATGTTGAGCACCAACCATATCATGATTCTTATTATAATTGAATATAATAATAGAAAAAATATTTCTATTTCAAATTGGAATTAGTAAAGACAATTTGAATTTTTTGCATTGTTCTTTGTACAAAATATAATTTGGCTATTGCAAATTTTTAAATTAGAACCTAAAATTCAACTTTAAGGAAATACAGATTCTAAAATCATAAATGGATACAAAAGACATCAAAACATCCATGTATATTAACTGAAAGGAGTCATTAAAAGCTTCAAAAGAATAGCATAATAAATTGCAGCTAGCATGGAACAAGTATACGATGAAAGTTCTAAAAACCACAATTCTAAAGAACAATTTTTTATATGGCATTGAATGCTGAAGCTAGATAAAAAATAGAGGTAGTTGTGCAAAAGTCACTTTTGAAGAAGATGAAAGGTGTATTATTTAACTATTATAATCTATTGATTTATTTTATTTATCTTAGCATTAGAACATTAAATTATAGATTGCCAATAATCTTCCAAAAGAAGATCTTAATATCCAACATCGAAAAAAATGGGAGACATATATTTAGAAATAAATAACAATTATACTTATGACTCAAAACATGTAGTTTTTTACAGAAGCAGATATAATTGTAGGTAGTGAGAAGAATGTACAAAATGACTAGATTGATGACAATGGATTTATAGTAGTACAACATTACAAGAATAAAAAAGATCAAATAAAAACATAGTCGATATTGAACTTTTGGAAGAAATAATACAAATAAAATTATTATTTAATATATCTATTATATTAGTAATTTTTTCCAAGTAAGTGTGTACACATAATAGTGTCTCAAAACAATATATTAAACTAATAGAAAAAATGATATAGGAGAAAAATAAATAAATCTTATTGTTGTTATTATTATTATTTGTATGTTAGTGTTGTTTCAAAGAGAGACAATATTGTGCAAAATAACAATGTTTCCAAGGCTAATAATTAAGGGATAGTATTGAATAAGAAGCAATATATAGAAAGATAAATTAATTATTGACAATAGAATTATTAATTATACACAATAGAAATAGAGCAAGTAACAATTGCTTTAACAATCACATAATATAAAATAATGATTTTCCAATAAGTAATGCATAAGATAAATTATAAAAATATTTATATACACAGAATATAAGAAATGGTAATTATTAACAATGAACTATTGGAAAACTCAATAGTGCAATATGATAGAAATACACAAATCTTAGGCTATAGCAAAAAAAAAACAAGGATTTCTAAAGTAAAAATAAGATGAACTAGAGTAAAATATTATCCTCTTAATGCTACTAGTACAACAAAAAATTGAAAGTATTGTAGATTATAGGAATAAAACTTATTTGCAATGAAATATATCAAAATTAATCAACATTGACAATACCTATGTAAAAAAGATATAAATTAGTATTTTTATTAATTAAAAATTAGTAAAAAAAAAAGAAAAAAGAAAAAATAGTAATACAATCTATTTATCAATCAAAAGAAAAGACTACAATAAATCCAAGTGTAGTCAATAAGTTTAATTTAAGTAATAATTTCAAACTAAAATTTTGAGTGTTACTATGTCAAGGACAAGAACTCGATGAAAGCTAAAGAGTAAGTGAGACTTTTCTCAAAAAAGAAATAGGACAAAATAGAAATATGTATATTAAGAAAGAAACTGGAATGGCTATTGCCAAAATACAAGAAAACTAGAGACCCTTGAAACTAGACTAGAAGCAAGAAAGGAGTTGACAAGAGTGAAGAAGCCTTCACTCTTGTCTCTATATATACTATCTAACTAGGGGCTACGTGGCGACGTTCTATAGGACCTCCAATATGTGTTGACTTTGTAGGACACATGCCTTGACTTACAAGGCAAGTTTTCCTACGTGTGGGCCACATAGTTAGCTTGATCTTCAAGCTAACAACATGTGTGGCACATGGCCAACTTGTTGACCACGTTTCTAATCCAAAAAGTCAATTAAA